GAATGGTGGTGGTGATGGATTTCACATTGTCTTCATATTAGTCCGTGTGTGTGCTTTTGTGTTTCTGAGTTTGTCCAAATCTGCCGCGAGAATGATTATCACTTGTCCACTTGTTACTGTCTGTAACGTATTGTGGATTGACCATCCAGGTAGGCATGTGCTTACAGCTATGCATAGCAATTCATGTTTCATACTGGAGCTATTGCATCCAACTGGCTCTGTGCGATATACGAATATGTAGCTTAATTCATAAGGTACCGCCGACCAGATACGATTCTGTCACGCATTTAGAAAGAATTGTGCTGGTGTGTGTGTGTGCGTGCATGCAACAGAATGAATGAGTAACATGTTTCTTTTCTCTCACTTTTCATTTTCTCCAAAGTTCCTTTTTATGTGTCATGTGAGACCAACATGCAAAAGCATTCATTAGTGCCGTCGCTGACACTAGTTTTATCGATTTAAAGTATGGTCTTGCACTGTTTCACACACACACACACACACACACACATACACACACAATTACTAATGGTCAACCGAGAAATTTGAGGGGGAATCGAGTAATTATAATTTCGTCCTCGTTCATCTTGAATTCGATGTCTTGATAATGGTGGGAGCAAACTCCGGGGTGTGGATTGTTGTTATTATTTTGATGTGCACGCTTCACGCACAAAATAAAACCCCAGCCAATTTACCATGAACCAACCCCGAGCCAGGGGAGACCTGAATGAACTGAGAGGATTGAGCATGAAGGTGATATCTGAAGGACAATCCAGCCAAAATCGATAAGAACAATATTTATACGTAGCTGCAGTTTAAGTTTAATCGTCAATTCACCCTTGGTTTAGCACCTATACGTAGTCCGGTCTGGACTTTCCCTTCATCTTTTTTCAAGGTCAGATTCATACTTTATTCGTTTTTCCGTATTGATTTGTGCAATATGCTAAGGAGACTGACCACTCACATTCGAAACGTTTAAAAAACTTTTTTTCGCGTAATAATTCTATCTATCTAGCGACTTCCACCTCAATGTTCTTCATTCCCTATCTGATAGATGCCACCACACCGAACAACAACAATACCAACAACAATAACACGCACAATCGCCATCACAGCACCAATAACAACACCACTAACCACGCTCCACGAAACGGAACGGTCACCAGTACCAACCGTTCCATTCCGGATGCCAAATTACTGGACAAACGATATCAGGATCGTCGTCGTCGAAATAACGAAGCGGTGCGACGTTGTCGAGAGAACAAACGTGCCCGATTGATTGGTCGAGCAGAAGTTACAGATCGTTTACAAACAGAGAATAGAGTACTTCGTACAGAATTGACAGGGTTAAGTATGGAATTGAAGGCGCTGCGTAAATTGCTTGGCAACCAGTCTTCTCGGGTCAGTGAGACCTCTGTGGATTCAGCTTCATCTTCCTTGGCTTCACCAGGTCGTGTGAAAACGGAGGATGGTGTGACTACTTCCGAACCCGATGGATCAGATACACCCATGAATGGGATTACAGGTTCACCTAACGGATCCACATTAGCTGATACGAAGCCGGAATCTTCCACGCATCATGAAGACCAATCACCAAGTGTTGGGGATGACTGGGTCGAAGATCCCAACACTCCGTCCACGTGTGTTGCGAACCCGACCTCTATCCCCGATTCCGATGAGCTACAATTGTCTCATGATCATCATCCACCAGTCAACACCGAAAGTGATCACAGTGCCTCAGATGAATCTGGTTCTCAAGCTTCATCTTTCCGATCTACCGCTCCGCCAGTAGTCCTTCCGTCTGCACAAAATCCACCCCGGATGCGAAAACGACTATCCCGTACAGTGGTCCGTCGTTGTTCACCAACTGTACCGGAAGTACACAACAGCCCGACAGAAAAACACAGTCCAGACTGGATGGATTGTGCTGAGCCCTGTGTGCGTGCATCGTTCGAATGCTCCAATACGAATCAGGAGGATCTGATTACCTCGTAGAGACGGATTGATTGATAGTCTGGGCATGAAGTTCACCAATTGTTGACTTGTGCATTATTTCTCCAACTATGACTCTTCTTGCCCCCCCCCCCCGAGTGCCAAACTGGTA